GCAACTCAGGAGGATTGCAAATTCAGGGCCAGCCTTACCAACTTAGTGAGAACTTGTATTAAAAAAAAAAAAAAAAGACTGGGGACCGTAGCTCAGAGATAAAGCTCCCCTGGGTTCAATCCCCAGAAATTAAAAAAAAAGACAAGTCTGAAAATATCATAGCCTAGAAGAGTCTAGGGAGGCGAGACAATTAAATGTAACAGGGTATCCTAGATGGGATCCTGGAACAGAAAAAGGACATTACATAAATTAAGAAAATCCAAATCAAGTATGGACTTGCCTTAAAAATAATGTATCAAGCTAGGTGTGGTGGCACATGGCTATAATCCCAGTTACTCTGGAGGCTGAGGTAGGTAGATCTTGAGTTCAAAGYCAGCCTCAGCAATTTAGTGAGGCCCTAAGCAACTCAGGGAGACCCTGTCTCTAAATAAAATACAAAAAAGGGCTGGGGATATGGCTCAGAGATTAAGCGCCCCTGGTCCCCCCCCCAAACCAAAAAAATAATGATGTATCAATATTGCCTCATATCAGTTATGTTGTCTCCATACTATCTTCTCAATTTTTCTAAACAAAAAGTTTATTTTAAAAAAAGTAAAGGAAGAAGCAATGGAAAGCAGCAATAGTCAAAAGGATTCATATGCAGACTTTGAGGATAAGCCTAAGAAGCTAACTATTTGTAATTTGTAATGTGTAAATGTGTTTTCCTGAATTTTAAACAGCCATCTTATAAACTACATATTGAAATTCAATACATTTGAAAATAAGGGGCTGTGTATTTGAAAGGGAGAGTGCAGTGTGTTTGCACTCTAGAATATTCTGTCACCAAGGGTATTTTAAATTCAAACATTCCAAATAGAAATATATCAACACACATTGTTTTAGTTGTGAAATACTTTCTGTGTTGAACTCCAGTAAGCCAATTTAACTCAGTGGTCACTTTTCCATATAAAAAAGTTCAATCATTTTCCATTTCATTGAATTTCCATGTCATTGAATCTATTTTCACTGGGAATGCTTTCCATGTAAATATTTTTTAAATATATTTTTAGTTGTAGATGGACATGTTCCTGTTATTATTATTATTTTTTTTAATGTGGCGTTGAGGATTGAACCCATTGCCTCACACATGCTAAGCAAGCACTCTACCACTGAGCTTCAACTCCAGCCCTCCATGTAAATATTTTAATGACAATTTGTCAACCATATTTTGTCCATATTAAATGTTCCCAAGTATATCTTCTTCCACTGTGAATTTACTTTCTTTTTTTTTTTTTTTTTTGTGGTGCTGGGGATTGAACCTGGGGCCTTGTGCATGGGAGGCAAGCACTCTACCAACTGAGCTATATCCCCAGCTGTGAATTCACTTTCATAGTCATTATTTCCATCAAACCAATTTTCACCAAGATTTTATTATCCTATGGTTTTAAACTAAAAGTTAATTTTATAATGTTCTTTTCATTGTTTATATTTATTATGTTGGTTTATCTATTTATTTATTTACTGTTGTAAATGGACAGAATACCTTAGTTTACTTTCATGTGGTGCTAAGGATTGAACCCAGTGCCTCACACATGCTAGGCAAGAAATCTGCCACTAAGCTACAGCCCCAGCCCTTCATTATGTTTTATATTATTAAAACAAAAATTTCATTTTTGATGATTTATAGACACAATCACTTCTTCATAATCATGACTTGAATAAAAGGCCAATGGTTTATATTTGTTTATTTCTTATGCAATCACAAGAAACATTGTAAGCAATTTTAAGAAACAAAGAACTATATATGGAAACAATGACAGAGAATGCCAGCAAGTGAGAAAGAGAAAAGGGGAGGCTGCAGTGTTTCTGGGTGTGCTGTGCTTACTGACCAGGTCAAACTTCCCTACAGTCAAAATGACAGTCCAAACATCCTGAGGGGCATCTGGAATGATACAAATGATCAGATCCACGTGTCCTGCTTCAATCCATGTGTTCAGTGCACAGATCAGGAAGAAGGCAGTAAGGATGGAAAGGGTATTGAGGGGAAAATCAACAGGAAATAGTCGTGAAGAGCCTGGGTTCTAGTATAGTCTGTCAAGGTTCAAATCCCAGCTCCACAACTTAAATCTGTGTTACCTGGGAAAGTTACCTCTCTATGCCTCAATTTCTCTGTTAGACAAGGAAATGATTGAGATCAAAAGAAGGAAAATTAAATGGAAAATGCATGTAAAATACTGAATATAGAATTTGGCCCATCCTAAGCTGTCAAAGAATGTTGGTATATATGGGTGCAAATATGTTGCTGTGAATTTGTACCATATATTCTACCTTGAGAAAACAATAGTGTCCATGTACTCTCTTCCATTTAACATACTAAAAATTGTAGGAGTTATCATCCTAAACCTGACTTTCTTTTTTTTTCTCCCCTTTGGAAAGGTTGTGCAAAACTACTATATTTACAAAAAATGGCACAAATGTGAACTCAACAGTCAATGCACATGCATACTTCATTCACATCTTCAACAATGAAAGATCTTCAACACTGCAGAACAAATAAGAATGCTAGCTTCAACTGCAGCTGTTAAGCTCTGAAGTCATGTAAGATATACCAGAATGGGCAAATATTGCCCAAGTAAAATTCTATTGTTAAAGCAGAAACAGGTTTAAAGCCATTCAAGTGCAAGCACAGTTAGACAAATCTTTCGGAACCCCATCTATTTGTGTTTGAATCATGTGATCTTTCTTGCAACTTGTGGTCTTAAACTTCTGTTCTACAAAATTCAAAAGAAAAATACAGAAAAAAAAAACAATACATCAGAGTTTATATCAAATAAGAGTATTATACAAAGCGATAATTAAGATGAAGCAAGGAAGGCCGAAACATTGAAATAGTAAAATTTGATTGTTACTTGTTGGAACCAGTCCTACACTAGAATTAGTTAATATATACAAATATTTTCAAGTAGATTACTTATGTTTCTCTAACTCATCCTTTTCATCAGTGCACTGTTAAACTAATAAAAACACATAGCTGGGTGTGGTAGCACATGCTTGTAATCCCAGGGCTGAGGCAGGAGATCAGTTCAAAGCCAGCCTCAGCAACTCAATGAGACCCTGTCTCTAAATAAAATACAAAAATAGGGATAGGGATGTGGTTCAGTGGTTGTGTGCCCCAGAATTCAATCCCCAGACGCCCCCACCACACACACACACACACAAAAAAAAAAAAAAAAAAAAAAACCTCTGCATATATATATTCTCTTACAATAGCAGCACATGCTATCACTACCTGCAAAGTTGTCAATCTCAAATGATTTAGTGAATAAAAGGAAACAAAAAGTGAATAAGTGGCATAATAAGGAGAAATTAAGGGAATTAGAAAAATTTGTGCAAGGCAGCTTTTTTAAATCAGTCAGCCAGCTTGCCAGCAACAAGGGATGGTTTCCATTCAGGAAGGTCCTGTGGCGTGGGAACGTAGCCACCAGTGACCTCTTTGTTATCCAGGGCTGTGTTAGGAAGTTGCTTGTTGTTCATCTTTGTTTTTGCATGTTGTAATCCCCAGAATCAAAATATATTTGCCCTTTCTGCAGTCATTTCCTTAAACATCTGAACGTCAAGGCTTTTGTCCCCGTGAGGATACTTTTTAAAATTTTGCTTCTTCAGCTGTCCCAGGTGTCCCATAAACACCCCAGTTCTCTCTTTAAGAAATAAATTTTTGACATACATCTGTAATCCCAGCATTCAGGATGCTAAGGCAGGAGGATCACCAGTTCCAGGCCAGCCTCAGCAATTTAGCAGGGCCCTAAGCTACTTAGCAAATTTGTCTTTGTCTCAAAATAAAAAATAAAGGGTTCAGAAGCCAGAGAATGAGAAGTTATACTCCATATATGTAGTCAAAATACATTCTACTGTCAAGTATAACTAATAAGAACAAATAATTTTTTTTCAAAAAACATATTATCAGAGGAAAAAAAAAGTTCAGAATGTAGCATGTAGCTCAATAGTAAAGCTCCCCTGGATTCCATCCCCAGAACCAAAAGAAAGAAAGAGAGAAAGAATGAAAAATAGAAATTTCTAATGCAATTTAACTTTTAATAACTAAAGGTTATCATGTTTTTAATATATTTATATTATTTTCACCAATTATGTTGCAATAATAATTGCAATAATAACACACTCCAGAAAAGAAAAATTAATATTTTGGAGACTTATTGTCAAAGGAAATTAGGAAAAATACTCCATTTGTACATACTATGGGTATATATGCACACATACACAAAGCAGAAAGTGTAATAAGCAATAAGAAACTCTCAGGCATAACAATGGGATAAAATTCTGTGGGGGAAGTGATATAGAAATCAAGTTCAAAAAAAGAAAAGGAATAATGTATCATGTCCCAGTGTTAAACAACTTTATTTTAAATGAATGATGGTGGATAGTAAATCACCACAGTATTTATCGTCCATTGGGTAAATTTCAGAGTGATTTAACGTTTTAATTTACAAAAATCAACATTTACAATAAGCCAGATATCACATCCTTTGCAACTATTAAACTCATGATGAAACAAAAATCAGATAATAAACTGAAGAGCTACTATCAGCTTGGAGGGGTACTAATAACCTGATAAAGCGAGCCCTCAAATATCATTTAGGTGTCCTTTCTAAAACTCAAGTCAAGCCCAATTAGTTTCAGTGACAAATAAAGACACCATTAATTCAAAGTCATTCTCTTCCTTTCCTCCCCATTTCTCCCGCTCAGTCGCCCCCTTCTTAGTCCCCAGTCGTCCCTCGCTCCACCCTCGCCCCTTTGTGGGCTCCTTTAACCCACCCTGTGCCCGCCCCAGCCCTCCGGCGCATGCGCGCTTCACTTCCTTTCCACCCGCTACTGCTGTGTCATGGCCGAGCGGAAGTTCCAGCCCCCGCGGGAAAGGGCGTCCTTAAGATCGAAAGGGCTTCTCGCAGCTTTCTCCCCCTCCTCCCATAACACCTTTCATTCTCTCATTGTAGGGGGGCCCCTACCCTGTACTCTCCCGAACACCTCGTAGTCCACGGATTTGAGTGGCTCGCTGGTAGACATGGCGGCGGCGAGCCCTCTGCCGAGGAGTCGGAGCGGGATTCGGGGCGCGGCGACTGCGGCGGCCGCGAGAGGGAGGAAGCACATGGGACCGCTGGGTGCCCTCCGCGCCTGTCCCCGGCCCGAGTCGCAAGCGCGCTGGGGTCACGCGTCAAACGCTGTAAATGAGACCGCCGAGCCCGGGAGTGAGGGCAGACGGGGACGCGGGGCGTCCGTGGCCTCTTCTTGCCCCCCCCCYGCCCAGAGGAGCCCGCGCTCCCAAGAATGAGCGCCCCTGTGTGCTCCCTGGGATTTAATTCGCCATGGCACTTGATGCTCAGTGTTCGTGAATTAAAGCCGGGTGCTGGGCTCAAAATGGGGTTGCTTCACTCCCCCCAACTTTATTAACCAAAAAGTGTATATATAAGGTGAGGCTTTGATATGAGCATGCTTTGTGAGCAGATTAGATCAAGATAATTAACAGTCATCACCTCTTTTTTACGTAGAGAACTTTTAAGATCTGAATTTTCAAGTATACGTTATTCTTAACCATAGTCACCATATTAGACAATAGATCTACAGTATTCACAGTAASAAGCAATGCATCCTTTGACCGTTGTCTTTCCCTTTCCAACCTCCCTTCACTCTCTTCCACCAAGATTTGCTTTTGAAACTAAGGGCTTTCTGGGGCAATGGTTAAGGGTATTTGGTACATAAATTGATTACGAAATGTTCTGGTGACTGCCAAATCTATCTGGCAATTTCAAGCCAACTCATAAGATGAGGTCTGTAACCTTTTCACCTCTTCCACTGAGTTAGAAAGGCTTTGGACCTGTATCCCTTATCCTAAGTAGACTGATATTTTCTGAAACAAGAACCTTTTTTTTTTTTAAGTCTGAACTTTTGAAAATGTCCTCTTGTTTATTGTTCTGTTATATAGGTTGGTTTTTTCTTTTGTTTGTTTGTTTTTGGTTTTTTTTTTTTTGGGGGGGGGGTTAAGGTCTTGATTATTGTTCAGCAATATCTCAATTACCTAGAAAGTTAAGGCAGTTTATATATTTCCTGGTGATCTAAGTTTGTGTGTGTCTCTCTCCCTCCCCCTCCCCCCCTCTCCCCTTTGGATATGGTATATCCCTTGCCCAGACGTGGCCTTGAACTTCTGGATTCCTGGGCTCAAGTAATCCTCCTGCCTTAGCCTCCTGAGTGCTGAAACTACAGGTATGGGCCACCACTCCCAGTCCATAAACTCTAATTTGTAACAACCCATCAACTCCAAAGAAACTAGATACAGTTTTTGATAATATGCCTTCTAGATTCCAAATCCTATAACATGTAAGAATTTGCATATTTAATTTATTTGTTGGCTTCAACACCCTTGCGCATATATATATATATATATATAATTTTTTTTTGCATCTGGCCTCATAGTTAAAAAATTCACTGCAACCTGATTCAATGTCATGTGCCAATTCTGTCAGAGAATACCAAAAATTATCTAAAACTTGGTTAGAATGTGGTTAGATCATGTTTTAAAATTTATTCTGGAGTGCTTTCTGATTGATTTTATATAATGAAGGTCTTCCTTGCAAGATACCTCACAATTATCTCTTCCTCTCATCTCCTTGTTCATTTCATACAGAGTATGGAGTCAATATAAGTATTAACTAATTCTTCTCACCCTTCACTGCTGTCAGAATCAAAACTAAGGTCTTCCACCTCAACTAAGCCCTTATTAAGTGCTTACCAAAATCCTATAAGTGATGTATTCAAGACAGTTATTCTGCAATCTGAACAGAGAGGTTAAACAAAACAAAAAAATGACCTTTTCTCTTGGATCTACTTTATCTGGAATTCACCTGCTACTCTAGACTCTTACCCTATCTTGTTCAGTTGCCTTTGCAAGTTCTTACCAGATTTCATCCTAATTATTCAGTGTTTCTTCCCCCCACTAATGCTAAGTGTTCCAAGTCACTGACTGGGGAAGTTGATGGTTTCCTATTCTTAATCAGTCCTTGACTTTTTTTCCACATTTACCTAAGATTGCCCCTGCCAATTATTATGTAGCTTTATTTTTAACTTAAGAAGTGCTATAGCAACAATTGACATTTGCTTAGCTAAAAAATTTACTATGTCTGCCAACAGCAGAACATTAGCAAATGGAAATTTTATGTACCACTTCAGCATGGATTGCCAATAAAAATGGTAAGACTTTAGAAATTTTAAGTAAATGTTTCTAATATTTAAACTAATTTTTAAACAACAGAAAAAATTTTAAATAAAAGGAAAAAAATCATCCTAGCACAACTGTTACCATTTTTGTATATTCTCTCTGTATACGTGTGTGTTTGTGTGTTTTTTTAGTAGTTACAGCATGAATTCAGTTTTTATTCTTTTCTATATTGTAGTCTTTCCAATGGATGTTAAGTGAGTTATGATCATAAATTTACCTACTAGTCCTGTGATTACACATTCAGGCTACTTTTCATTTTTCACTACTATAAAAAATATTGTGAAGGAACTATTCTTGCATGTAGCTAATGCCGCAGTCTTGCTGGGCACAAAATAACCGAGCCRCCACAAGTTCCTTGTAGGTTCAAACAGCAACTACTTTATTTCCTGAACTCTCACCCGAATTCCACACACGCTTCCCGGGAACTCTCTCACCCTCCACCTCTCAACGGGAACCCCCCCCCCCCACGAGAACTCAACAGAAACTCCAAAGTAGGGGGGGGCAGTCGGAGGCAGCAGGAGCCCCCTATTCCCAGAGCCACCCTATTGCAGGGTCCATATACAACTCAATACACAGCCTGTTTCAATCCAGCATCATCCAGTCACAGCAATTATAACTTAATTATCATCATCTTAATGGCTCSCTGGCATCATCTCTTAACCACTCCTTCTGGCAAAATGCCATGCGCCATCCCGATTCGGCTATGGCCCTCAACAGCTTCCTTCCCATATTTTTATATTAGAAGTTAGAATACTTTTAACTTAGAATATAGGCATGTATTGTTCTTGACATGTATTGCCAAATCACTTTTCAAAGGGCTGTACCAATTTAGATATACTACTGTCAACACCATGTATGATTATTTGCCATTTATTTATTTATTTATATGGTGCTGGGAATGAACAATAGACAAAGTCTCAACCACTAAGCTACGTCCCCAGGCTCTGCCTTTTTTTTTGAGCTCAGAGGCATTTTATTAAAAAAAAAAAAAAAAAAAAAAGGTCTGGTAATTTTAATATGAGCTTAAAATTCATCATACATTTACTTCATTTTTTTTGGCTTGACTTTCTTTCTAGTAATCTTTAGCTTCACTGTTTTGGGCTACTATAGAAGGAGATCTTCCTTTGGGCAATTTAAAAGCATAATTTGTCAAGCATCTCTTATTTTCCTTTATTGACTATATGGCTTAAACAGTATTAATGTTGCTTCCTGTTTTGTCATTTTGATTTCAAACCCCCCTCTATAATAGCTACCACTAACGGCAGATTTTGGTAGACTCTGAAATTTGTATTTTACTTGAGGCTCCATATGTTTCATGGCTTGTAAAATAACACTCTGCAAATCCTGCAGCAGCAATGGTCAGTCCAACTGCTACCACTGTACTGGCCATGTCTCAGTCTCAGCTCCCCTGCTTTCACCAGGAGCACCGTTCATCCTAGCCTAGAGGCCACAGTCACCACCATAAGCTTTAACCAGAAAGTGATATATCCGCAGGAGCAAGCACAAGTTCCCAAGTACAGGAACCCTCACTTAGTTGGCTTTCTATGCATATATACACAGGCTCTTCAGATATAATACATGATTAGATTATATATAACATTGTCAAATATATATTATATATAATATATATAACATTGTCAAATAYATATATTAGATTATATATAACATAGTCAAAACACTGAATTATTCTACAATCCAAAAAGAGAGATTTATTTTAAAAAGCCTTTGCTCTTGGATCCACTTTATATGGAATACTCCTGCTATTCCCAGATCTTTCTCTCTCCTGCTCAGTTACCTCTGCAAGTTCTTACCAAATTTCATCCTAGTTATCTATAGCAACAATTTTGGCATAACTCGGCTCTGTTATTGCTATTGGTCAAAATTAAACCCTTACATCATGTAAGTCTCTTCCTTGAACATTTTAAGACAAATTGTTTATGTTGTAGGATAATATTTAAGGAATGCATATAAAAGGAAAATCCTACATATACAATGTAGATAGAAAAAATGACAAGGCACTGGAACCTGTGAAGTAAGGAAGGACAGGCAACAGTCTCTGGGTCCAAGTGACATTTAAATTGAGGAGGTGCAACCTGTAAATTTCTAATTTATCACCACAAAGGGTCAGTTGAAAGTGATTCCTGCAGTGATTTCTCAGAAAGTTGAAATTGGGATATAATTGATTTCAAAGACAACCAAAATTACTTCATCCATCAACATTTCTATTCCTGATATATTTTTGTGATCATGTGGAAAGAACAGTTCTCAAAAGGATACAAATTGTTAACTTCCACAAGGGAAAAGACCTAAATAAGCTAATTCAATGATTCCCTTATAGAAGGAATACTTCATAAGCTAAAGATGTGGTTAAATAATTATTACTAAACTGGATTCAAAATCATTAGCCACCAAACTCTTAATGTGTTTAGCTGACTTAGTAGCTATTTCTCAGAAATAGCTTACATCTTATTACAATTTATCAGAAAATTGCTTAAGCATTTTATCAGGAAGGCATGTTTCCTTTCCAAGTATCTCAAGTTTGGACCAATTTTTCTTTATCACAATCCACTTTAATTTTTACAACTCAAGAGGACATGAAATATTAAAGCTTCTTCCCTCTCCCAGCCCAGTACTGCTTAGGCTAAGTGAGGGAAAAGGCATGRTTGATCCTTCCCTTGCCTCAGTTTTCCCCTAGTTAGCTGAGAATTAGACGAAATGGGTATATCATATGGGCTCTCTGGGATTGGCAAATATTGAAGGTTGACTAATTCTTTTGCAGAATCCTTTTTTGAAGGAAAATATGTCTTTACCCCACTAGAAATTCCTGGTTGCTGTTCCCTTGATAGAGAATCCCTTTACTCTGTACTTGTTCCATCCCAGCTTTGTATTAAATGACACCTCCAGATTCTTTCTGCTGAGACTAACCCCCAACAAGAAGGCCATCTGGGCGGATCCACTTTAAACTGACCATAAGAACAGATCTCTCCCCCCAAACACATCTAA